AGGTCAAACTGTAGGTAAAACCACCAAAACGATAGAAATGCTACTTTTGTATTAAAATTTATTGTTTTATTTTCAATATTTTATAGCTGTCAGCAAAAAGCTTTAATTCAATCCATCATTTAAACACTTTAAAAATTAAAAAAGAAAGCTTTGGACCATTGTAATAATTTTATTTAGTAATTTACTTTTAATTTATAAATAATAATGGTTGTTTATTACCTCAAATTTCCTTCAATCCTCATTAACTTTCCCAATTTTTCTTTAATTTTGCCAGGAAAAATTTATTGAACAATAGCTGAATTTGTTTTAAAAATTGAAAAATTTTTTATGTTTATGGTCCTTAGAACTTGAGGCGTTTTAATTAACTTAAGATTTATTAAAGTGACCGTCTCATCCCAAAAATAGCAAAACGATTAGATAGAACATGATCCTTACAGCTCTGCTAATGCATGGATTTTAACCCTGATTTAGAAGAGCTTATCTCACATGCAATGATAATTTTATTTTTTGTTTCTGGAAGCAGAGGTGGGTCTAAATTCCAATTCACGACTTACGATTTCCGATTTTTGAGCCATTTCCAATTTCTGAAGTTCCGATTTCCGACAGTTCCGATTTCCAGCACCTTCGTCATTTCCGAGTTCCACCTCTGGCTGGAAGAAATCTTTGCCCGGGATTAGAAGTTCCTAGATCGGTAAGGTCATAATATAATCATTTTTCTTTTTATTTTGTGTTATTCTCAAACCTTGAAAAGTTAAGAAAAAAATCTGGAAATTTTTTAAATTTACTTTTTTTGAATAATTCTCTTCCATTAGTCATCATTTTCATCATTATTTTTTATTTTCCCCTAGCAAAATTACCTAATATTTCTTTTAGACATAAAACATACATATCATTAAATGTTGCTGTACGAATAATTATTCAATACAAATTAAAGGGTTTTAAGTGAATAGATATCAAAAGTGGCCGTACCCGAAATTTTTGTCAACCCGAAACCCGTGACCCGAAATGAAAAGCTCTAACCCGAAACCCGTACCCGAAGATTTTTTGTACCCGCGGCAACCCTGCTGTTAATTATTAAACTATTTAATCCTTTAATTTATTTTAAATCAAGTTCCATCAATAGAATTTTAAAAAATAATGTAAAATTTATAATGTTAATTAAACTGTTATTTTTGTTCCTAATATTTTTTGACTTTCAAATTTCCAATTTTATATTGTCCAGAAATTTGGATTTAAACAACTATTATTTTTATAAGACAAATAATGATCAACAAATAAAAGGTAAGAAAGTGAATTTTTTGATTAATTAATAATAATTATAAAATATTTTAAAAATACGGAAAAAATTAGTACTAGTATGTTTTAGCATTATTCCCCAAAATCATGCCTTCCAAAATTCTCAAAATAAGTGAGTGTATCGCTTAGAGGCCTCCAACAGGAATGGGATCTCTTCCACCTTCCGGTTGCTAAAATTCGGGTGGGCCTTTTATCTCTTCCATTTCCATCCTTCCATCCATCCTTCAACCTCCACCCATTCAACCTCCACCCATAAATCCAATAGGCCTCAACCTTCTATGTAAAATTTCAAGATCGGGTTCTCAACTTTAAGAATAAGGAAAATAATTAAGAGATAAATATTAATTCAGTCTAAAAGCCTATAAATATACCATGAAATTTTTCAGGGTTCGGGAAGTAAAATATAGGTACATACCTAGGTAAATATTACCATTTAAAATACGTCAATTAAAGAAAATCTACACACATTTTTCTCTCACATTATTTTTTTATTTTTACTTTTAATGTAATAAAAATATTTATTTATACACATATTCATACAAGCACACATTTTTTGCTTTTCCTTTTGCGTACAATCATTCTTTCATTTTTTTACAATAAAATAGGAAGGAGATTGGCCAAATGCCGTCTTGTAACTTTTCTTCTTTTAAAACATTTTCTGCTTTCCTTTTTTTTAAAGATTTGCTTCTTCAACTTATATCAAACTCCTTTTCAACTTTTTTATATTGTGCAAATTTATTTCCAATTTTTTTATTTTAATTTACTTTTTTAAGTAAATAAATTTATTCATATTATGTAAAATTGACTTTCCATATGTTAAAAAAATTTTTTTTATTAATCATCATTTTTCATATTATTTTTATTCTTTTAATAGGCCGTTTAGTTCAACATGTCTGCCAACTTGATAATTAAGCAAAAATAATTTTTCTGTTAATTTTACTATTCTTATATTTAAATATAGAGAAGGTTCTTTAAAAATTATCCCTTCCATAACTAGTAGAGATTGTCCTAGACCGAAAATTTTCCAAGAATTAAGACCAATACTGAACCCCTCCTCCCAAAGACCAAGATTTCAACTCAAAACCGTAAGGAACCCTTTTTGTTTTGAATCAGGACGAAGATCAAGAATCTGACGTTTATACATACTTTCTAGTAGGTATTGGGGTTTGTTCTCCGAGTTGGAGGTTTTAAAATTAAATTTAAATAGTTTTTTTAGGTTTTTCCCTTTCCCTCAGTGTTCTCGACCTGCGCATTAAAATCTCTCGCTCTATAATCTCCCTTGCTACTAAATAAAAAATATTTTTAGCTTTTTACTTTTTTTCCTTCAATCAAATTGCCGACAATGTTTGTATATTTACTTATGTGTGTCCATTATTTCTAAAACTTTTTGCCAAAATAACCCGTTTAAATATTAAAAATGATTTTTTTTTGTAATTTTTACCTGTTAATCATCCGTTTTTTATTTTTTATTCATATTCCTTCCTTAAAAAGCGAAAGAATATGAGTCAATTTCTTATTTCGATTTTTTGAGCTCCAAGAAAATAGTATCCCTGTATTAAATTTTATGTTATCTATAATTTTCCGGATTTATTAATTTCTGGAACTATTAGTGTTATATGTATTATTCTCTTAATATAAGGTTGTTGATAATTGGAAATCTTCAGATATCCGGATCCGGTACCCAATTAAAAATTTTCCGGATAAATGGCCTTTTTCGCATCCGGATCCGCCAACCATATTTTAATAGTTTCCGAAATCATTTTTTTATTTAAAGCTTTCAGGAACCATTAAAAATTCAAAATTTCAAAAATTCCAAAAATTTCAGAAAATTCCCTCTATTCATCATTTATTGAAAATATTTTTGTATTTTTAAAACATCCAAAACTTCTTAAATTTTTTAAAATCAATTTACTATAACTAAAGTTAAATTCATAGTTAGGTCAAAACACAAAAAATAAGTCTCTGCTAAAGCCATCTCTCTCTCATCTCTATTAGACCACTTAATATTTTTCTTCAAAGATTACATAATACTTATTAACAGTTTTCTCTTTGACTTGAATAAACTGTCACAAAAAGAAAGGAAAAGCTAAAAAAAATTTTTTTGTGTGTTACATCTAACCCAGGCTTTTCCTTTTCTATAGCGCACATGAATCTGGCGTATATATAGATATTTATTGCCCCATAGATATCATTAATATGTATCATCTATAAATTATTTATATTTACCCCACAATTTTACGGAAAAATGTATGTATACTTATATGCCAGGGGTGTGCGAGTTTCGCTTTTCGCATTTCGCGGATTTTCGCCTTTTTTGGACTTTCGCATTTCGCGTGTCGCTTTTTTTAAATGACTTTCGCTTTTCACATTTCGCTTTTTAAATTTAATTTCGCTTTTCGCATTTTGCGTTTCGCTTTTTAAAATCCGTTTCGGCACACCCCTGGTATATGCTTGTATTTCCGGAAATCTATGATACCTATCTATAGTCTTCCGGAATGTTTATAGTATATCATGATAATTTTCCGGTTGTATATTATATTTAAAACTTTCCGGAAATATATATGTCTAATAGTTTCCGTATAGTTATACTATTTCCGGAATGTTTATATAAATCTATTGTATTTAAAACTTTCCGGAACTACTAATATTTCTTTCCGGAAAAACATCTATTCAAACTTTCCGGATAATTATATTTGAGTGATATTTATATAAGTTTTCCGGAAATTATATTTTATTTAAAACTTTCCGGAAAAAATATGTATATTCAAATTTTTTTACGGAAAATTAGTATATTTCCGGAAAATTATATTTCCGGAATATTTATATTTATTTAAAACTTTCCGGATATATTAGAATAACTGTTACTATAACCTTCCGGTTGTATACGTTTAAAACTTTCCGGAAAAATATATATTCATATTTTTTGGTATTCCGGATACTATAATACACCTATTTGACTAATAAACCGTTTATATACTAATTGAGAGATTAGGATCAATTCTCGCAACAGATCAACCATTCTCCAAGTATCTCTTTTCAATAACCCTTTTTTCGAGCAAAGTACTTGACTAATTATTAGCTAATTATTAGCTTGTTTATTTTAGTTGTTTTCAAATTCTTTTGTTTTTTTTTGTAAAAATTGTTGCGAATTTTACTTTTTATTGTTGGGTGCTATCTGGGGGTTTTCAAAATTGTCTCTCTTAAAATCAATTTTTGATTTTTCTAGTTTCTTAAACTGTGTTTTGTAAAATAATTTTTATGCTTTTCCTTTGGTATTTTTCGATCACTTAACTAGGGTGACGATTTCGATTTGGGCCGACATTAGAGACGAATTTTCAGGCCTTATGTTATCGAATCTTGCCATTCGAATTTTTTCTGGCAAAATACGTTATCCCCAACTCGATTTAAGGATTCAGTTACCCCGTTTTAAAAATGGCAGGATATCCAAAAAAATTCTTCTCAGGATTCGCAGATCTCTCACCCTTTCAGACTATAATTTTTAATTTTTTTAAATTTTAATTTAATCCCATCTCCAATTCCTTCTGAAAATCTTGTTCTATAATTTTTTTATTTAAATTATCCCCTTTATTATCATACTCTAAATTTAATCTCTATTAAAAATTATATTTATACATTAATTTCAATTTATCCTCTTAATCCCAAAAATCTTTCAAGACAATAAAAAAATTATTTTTAAGCTAATCATGGATAAACATCATTTAAATTTTATTTTTATCAAAATATTCCTTATTTTAATATTATCAAATCCCATCTTCTGTCCCTTACCTCCATCACGTCCTCTAGTAAGGACCGTCATCCAAATAAAGATAAACCTCCCAGAATTGCCTTTCAATTCCGAAATGAATTTAAAAACAAGTAAAAACTTCAAAGAGGCAGCTAGAGATATAAATGAAGCTTTTGAACAGTTTTGGCAAAATGAGCCCTCCTATAGGAAATCAAACGTCTCCAGACTTCAACATGACCAAGTCCTTGGAACGTTGGCAACGATTTATTTAAATTTTGATTTGCCGTTGGATTCCTCGACTGCGGTTCTTCACCGATTGAAATGGGAGTTGTTCAGGGCTCTGAAGGATGGAAGACTTGGGAGGCTCCACGCCTCAGGGGATGGATTTGAATTTACGGCTATTGAAGGTGCAGAGAATGTGTTTAGTATTTTTTTGGCACTTTTTTTTAGCATTGCCCCTACGGTTTAGAAACCCCCGATCCCTCCTATAGGCTGATTCCTCTGAGTTCTGAGTTTCTTATATTTATGTATTTTCCCGTTTTCGGTCCCAATTTTTTATTCAAAAAAATTCAAATAAATTTGGAAATAAAATTAAAATACAAAAGAGCTTTAGTAATACATTAATATTCTTAAATCGTTCAAAGGACCCTTCTCGAGCCCCACACTTGCCTGCTTGGACGGTTCCTTGCCAGATTTCAGCATCCACGGCTCTACTTATTGTTGGTCTCACTCTGTTTGTCCTTCTAGAACGTCCTGTGAACATGGACAATGCTGCAGAAATGCCGGTAAAATTTTTAATAACCTTTATATCCTTTACATTAGAAAAATACCCGTAAGGATTATGTTCAAGTGGAGATGCACATTACATATTAATCAAAATTCTTTTATCACTATTGGGTCCAGATTAGAGGTCGGTGCGGGACAGGATCCCGCGAGGGATTTTGCGGGATCACTTTTTTATATTTGCGGGTTTTGCGGGAGTTCGGGATTATTCCCGCGGGATCTCACCCCGCAGACATTTTTAGAGTTATCCCCGCATCCGAAGATCCCACAGCACGATTTTTCTTACTTCTAATCCAGAAATAGCCTGATATTGTACTCATATAGTAAGTTACCTAATAGAGATCCAATTCTATCTAAAATTTGAATTAAACCATTGAGAACGTATTTTCAAAACAAAAACTTGATTTAATAAATTTACTATCCAATTTAAAAAATTAATAGAACCTCCATCTATTTAATTTTACAACAAATTTTATTTTAAAATTAAAAGAATCATTCCCTCGTCGCAACTGCGACCCGATCAAAGAATGGGAATGTGCAGATGGCTTGTGTATTCCAATATCTGCTAGGTGTGATGGAAAAGAAGATTGTGTTTTGGATGTGGAGGAAGGAGCTTTTGCTTTAGGAATGTTGCTACATAGGCCAAGTGATGAACTTTACTGTCCAACAGGCTAGTCTTTATGGCTTTAAACATGGACAAAAGTTGGGAAAGTAAAATAAATTATCAATTCCATGGGCAGGGGAATTTATTAAGCTGTAACTTTTTATGGTGTATATAATCAGAGATATCCTGTTAATTAAGCTCATCCTCGCATTACGACCTTTTTGCTTGGTGTATAAGACCTTTTGATTGGTGTAATAATTATTTAAATCGGTCGAGATTAAGATGGTCGAGTTTGGGTATAAAATAGGACCTCGAGACTGAAGCCTGAAGTCTCGATACTGATGCTCTACGTAGTCCGTTATAATTAAAATTAAAAGAAATAGTCATTATCCTTGATGGCCTTATTAGATTTTAGAATGTTTTCATTCTATGCGAACTATTGAAATTTCCTTGATAGAGATTTTTTCCGACCTCCTTCCGGTAGCAGATTTTTACCAGTAAGAAAGCATTCGGACTCTAGAAGTTATTTTAAATTTTAATTAAATGCGGGGAAAACTTAAAAATTAAAGGCGATTAAGTTAAAAAAAATTAAAAAATTAATTTTTAATAAATTTTTTGCTTCTCCCCCTCCAAAACATGCCCATTTTCTTCCTTCTTTACTCTTTGAAAAACACAAACTTTTCGTTTTTCTGGCCAACATCGTTCTATTTCCATTGCAACTTGTGTGTAAAAATAGCCGCAAGTAATTAATAAAATAAATGGCCAACGAAGGGGGACCTAAATTAATGTAAGAAGGATTAATCAAACAATAGAAGCTTTCTATAGGAACATCAAATACTAGAACTTGTGATTCAGATATCTGGATCCGAAAAAAGATCAGGAAATTTCTGGTTTAGATAACGGACCTGGTTATCTGGGGATTTCCTAGGATCCGGCAACTATGTTAATATCCTCTAAGAAAATATGTCTAAAAATTTAATTTCTTAAAATTGGGAAGATCATTGACATAAGGGACTTGTCAAGTGACGCTCTCCCCCTATAATGATATGTGATAGTGAGATCCGATTGTTAACTGGTTTAATAATTTTTTGATTTGTGTGTTTTGATATTTCCTTTTAACTAACCGTCTCCTCCCAAAATATTCTCTGAACAAATAACCACCCAATAGCAGATCCCCCAAGAAAATAAAAATTAGAATATAATCCAAAAGCAAAGGGGACAATTTGTAGCCATCCCAGCAATCGACGAAAATTTAAATCTGACAATAATTGTTTTCGAAAGCTTTGAACTTTTGGTATTGAATATATGGCTTTTGAAGTAAATCTGAGGGGGAAAAATGAAAATTAAGTAGATAGGTATAAGTAGGTAGGGTTGGCCCCTAACCCCCTATATTTTTGGCTAAAACTCCGATACAAAAATTTGTAACTCCGAAGGATCGGGGCCGAACTCAAGTCATAAGGGTAGGCGACATCAAAGCCTAGCTCGTATCTATTAGATAATTGTAAACTAGTCCGACTGGGACCTGGAAACTTGAACTTTTGCATAGGAATAGTTGAGGGTGTCAACTAATATCAGACCTGGTCACTGATACTAATTTTGGAAGACGTATCCGGATATTTACGGTGGATACAGGCGGATATCCGCAAGCAACTTGATATTATCTGTATCCATATCCGTAGCCATGACCAGGTCTGACTCATGTTCCTCAGAAT